AACTCTGTCAATCTTCACATCTCAAGAAACCCAGAAAGCAGATGGACCCTGGATTAAGCTTACTGCAGTCGTTCACAATCACTGTACAGTTAATTACATTTGTAGAGATGGGTGGAGGGGTCGGGGGGGGTCGGGGATGGGTTGGGATAGGGCAGAATAAGAAATATTGTTCTATAGTTGTGTGTGTGTGTGTGTGTGTGTGTGTGTGCGGGTTTAGGGGGATTCAGGATTAGTATCTAGTTATAACCCAGTTATTGTAATTGCTATAAGTACATAGTATGCTGAACAGGACTGCAAAATAAAGTGCTAACTACAATAGCCTCTAAATAGTGAGTCTTCTCAGACGAAACCGTGTCATATCTATAGGTGACATCAATTCGCCATAGAAAATAGTATCATTCCGGCAACTGTGATGTAAGCCTGCCTTTCGATACACCCTTTTTAAGCCAAATTTATGATTCACCTCCCTCTTCTAGGAATAGTGTAATATTTAGACATTAACATTTCACAACAGCAGAGTATTTCTAAATCATGCACGTCAATACTGCATCATTCATGATTTTCAGTTTAATTGTGGCATGATTCTTCAGTTCAGAGCAGCAGGAAGAGAAGATTAAATGGTTTGTGGACAGAGGCACTAACTGGCCTCGATGGCTTCCTGCGGGAAGTGGAGTTTCTGTGCTGAGGGGATTGAAAGCCTTTTTTTCCTGCTGAGGTGGACATTTCCAAACACACTGATACACGCTTCCATAGGCTGACCCCCTGACCTTTCACAGTCCCCGTAACAAAACAATCACTCTCACACTTGTGGAGTCCTAGGGAGTTGCAGTTTTCAATGGACATCAACAAAGATGTAACAAAAATGTATTATGAGAAGATCTTCCAAGAAAGACTTCAGAACATTGATGCAAACAGTCATTGGATGAATCTCACATGTCCAGGTCACATGACACATCCCATAGGAAAAAAAAGTAATTACTTTTATGACAGTTGAGCACATTGTCCTGTCACTACCATAATCCTTCATGTTCTTTATTACAGTTAATCTTTTTTATTTATTATTTAAAGCTACATCAAAGGCAGTACAATAAATACTACACAGGGTTATTAATGTTAAATAAAACTATTTATGAAATAAATAAACTTTAATTTAAATAAAAGATTTTTAAAAACTATCTAGCTGCAAAGGCAACATTTCTCATTTTCGTTTAGTTTTACTTGAAGTACTAAAACAACTCAAACAAAAAAAATGTATTAAAAAATAAATAAAAAATGACAAAAGCACACAACAAAATTACTAAAAATGTTTTACTAAAATTAAAGTGAAAACAGAAAATATAAAAATAAAATCTAATTCAAAATATTAACAAAAATATATATAATTTCACATATCCTTTGTTTGATTTTGGGATGAAATGTGACCCATTAGTTCTTGACAGGTTTCATGAGATTCACCAATTACTTTTCGACTAACACAGCTTCTCCCAATAAATTATGCAGTTCCCATAAAAGACCAAAGACTTTATAATATCTGAGCTGCATGAGTGTCCATAATGAATGCTATAAACTGTTTCTTTACAGATGCACACCCACGTTCATGCACATGCACACCCACGTTCCAACACAAAAACAGCATGGACGTTGCATATGCTCTGCATGAATTTATATTCACCTTTCATTTCTACGGTCTGAAACACAGCAGAGCATTCATAGCAGCCTGCAGCATTACTGCCGTTGACCCTGCAGAAACTCTTGTTACAAAGCTCTTGTAAGTATTGTGCAGACGCTGTACGAAACAAACGAAAAATCTGTGCTTTTTTTATAACTCATTTACAGTTCTGTCAGGACCACTATCGTCAAATACGATTGACAAGTAGCATACAGTTTGGATTGGCGGTATCCTGCGCATCCATGCAGCCTAGCATGGATAAGAGCAGGGAGAGCAGCAATAACCCCCCTTAGGGTAAACAGAACAGAATCAACATGAATGTATTGCAGATATCATTCATTCAAGATTTTAAAGTACAACATAAAAATCGAGAATTTATTCTGATTCAAGGGGAATCAGAATGCCAAATCCTGACTGGATGAGAGGTGGAGCTGGGGATGGAGGAGGGTAATTAGCTCCTGAGAAACGCGATAGCTGCTGATAATACTGAAGGAGCTCATATATGTATACAGTCAGTGATAGGCGTCATTTTCCTATAGGTAGAGAATAGGTATAGCTGAGAGTCAGCTGATGCGAGCTTGACTAACGTGACCTGCCAGAACTGACGCTACGCTTAATATTTACTATTTTGATTGTTTAACAATCTTTGATGTCTTATAAGGAAAGTTAATGCAGCAAAGAAAGGAGAAGTAACTAGTTTCTGTCAGTCTCTTATCCTCTCTCTCTTTCTTCGACTGTAATTCCATCCCTTTTCCAGAACAAATGGACTGTCACACCGTCAATCAACTTGATTGACAGGCCTTTCATCCAATATTCACAAGCTGTCCAATCTGGGCACCTACCCCACTTATCCTGTCTCACCATTGGCATAGAGATATGCAGTATGCCTTCATACACTTCATAAAAATACACATGAGATTTTATGCAGACATTAAGCAAAGTGTGCGTTATTGATTTGCCTCCTACCAATAAGATAGTAGGTTCTGAAAAAATAACCCATATATCAACTTGCTAAGTGACAGTTTTATCATGAAACATCTTGTTTATGAAAATCTGGTGTTATGTGCAATAAATCTGTGATTTTGGAGTCAGCTGCAGAACTGAGCCTCTAATCTTCATCCTAAATCTCCACCACTTCTGAAAATGATACTGTCCTCTCCCTGCGGCCCATCGTGTGCTTGAGAGTTTGTTTCGGGTGGTGATTATACTGCAGACATTCTGATGCAACAAAGAGACGGAGAATAAGAAAATTCCATTCCATTAAGAAAAAGGGAATAAGACTGTTGGGGAGAAAAAGAAAGACGGGTCAGTAGTGGGATGTGTTTGCGTAAGAGGGGCGTCATCCCAAAAAGCTGATATCCCCACCAGAGCTGCACCACTGATGTCATCACTGTGGGACACACCCAAGCTGGCTACATGACACGAAGAACTTTAAGAGTCACTGCAGGGACAACTGGAAAGATTCACAACACGAAATGCACAGAACATCCAAAGAGTGCTACAATCGTTCCAGGAATGTGAGCCCTTTGAAGGAAAATTTGCAGATTGCAAATTTGCTTACCCTATAAGAATTGTTTTAGCATTAAAGGGGACCTATTATGCAAAATTCATCACATGGTGTTTGAACATAAATGTGTGTCGGCAGTGTGTGTACACAACCACCCTATAATGGCAAAAATACACCCACTCCTCTTTTTTTAATCCCCATAAATCATAAGCAGTGTCTCAGAACAAGCCATGTGCCATTTCAATGAAATGTGATGTCACAAATGCTTAGGCCCCGCCCACGACTGCTGATGGACTCTGCCCTATTAGCATAAACCCCGCCCTGAATGAGCTGTACACAGTCCGCCATGTTTATCTCCTCGCCAGAGCATTTAACAGCAGCATTCAAGTAAGAATTTAGATTTTCTGTTTTCTTTTATAGTTTGATTCATATTTACAGCATATATAGCAGTAGGTACTGTATATTACGCTGCTTTCACTTTAATACACAGATCTAATATACACATGCGATTTCTTTACTTGCTGTTTACATTCACAGACATAGCCGACTGTGTTTATGTGAACTTTGTGTGTTTTGACATAACCTTGCGACTATTTGATAGTTTAAGTGCAATAAGATGTGAAAGAGAACTTAGTTTGATACTCAAGGGACGCACCGTCTGACAGACAGCTTTCTGTGTGTGTGCTTCGGATGTGTGCACTCAGACAACCATATATCAGAAGTTTAGGCTGATATGGCTTTAAAACACATGCAGATAATAAACTTTCATGATGATAAACTGCAATGTCACGTGAGCGTGACTGCGATAGAGATGATAAATAAAACCAAACAGAAGTTTTGTTAGTTTTTGGCAGAGTATTCCCAGGCACGAGCTGTAAAGGCTCCGCCCTCTTCTGGAAAGCAGCTCATTTGCATTTAAAGAGACATGCACGAAAACAGCATGTTTTCCTTCCACTCAAAAATGGGCATTTAAAATATTGTATAATAAGTGATCTGTGGGGTATTTTGAGCTGAAACTTCACAAACACATTCTGGGGACACCTGAGACTTATATTACATCTTGTAAAAAGGGGCATAATAGGTCCCCTTTAAATAATGGTTTGCTGATCAAATGCCAGATCTTCAATTTCAATTAACATTTTTGAGAAGCATTTCTATCATGTAGTCAGCAATGTGCTTTTTTAATTGGGTAAAAGTGCGTGAGAATGTTGGCGAGTGCAAGTGAAACACCAGAACTTTGAATGTGTGAAGTGGAAACGATCACTGCACTTTGACCTAATCTAGTCTCTGGGTCTAATGTCGTTTTGAAAGTCACACAAGTTTGGAATGACATAAGGCTGAGTAAATGATAACAATATTTATTTTGGGATGAAAACACTCGCCAACACTCACACACACTTTTACCCAATTAAAAAAGCACATTGCCCCACATTGGGTGTTTAGATAGTATACTCTCTAGAATGTGGGATCAATTACTATTTCACCCCACACATGCACAGCTTACTAACAGAAACATTCCAAAACCTTTCAAAGCGAGCACAGATACTTAAATAAAAACTTCCAATAATTCAGCAGTGGACAACAGCTGGATTAAACACACAAATCTGACTTAGACAATCACAGTCTTATGAAGAACATAATCACTACTCCTCCGCCTTGTGCAAGCCAACTGCTGTATTCTGATAGGAAGAATGCAAACAGCAGCCTGGACCTTGGACTAATATCAAACCACCAGCCTTCGTCTATTGAACGCTGTACAGATGACTTGCAACTAACAATATTTATTCTGGCCCACGCAACTGCGGTGATGAGAGGGCGACTTACCCAATCTGTCTGTTGGTGGAAGGGGCTTGAGTGATGACCGAACTGGACTGGGGCGAGGGCAGTGCCTGCTGGATTACTATGCTGCTGTCGTGGTTGGCCATTCTTGAGTGGGTCTGCTGGTGCTGGTTAGGGCCCCCCTGCCCATGAAGAGTGATGTTCTGTTCAGAAACACAAAGGGTGGGGTGGGGTTCATGAGCACAGGGGTAAAATATTTACTGTTAATGTATTGTAACATAACTAAACTTTAAAAAACTACAAAACAAGTCAACAACCAACTACTACACAATAAAAAAAATTTATATGATCAATGAGTTGTGACAACAAAAGCTTTTACATTGCTTTATTTTATTTATACTAATTTTTAAGTAAATTTAATGTAATTTAAGTTGAGGTTACTTAAACATCCAAGTTGATTGTACTTAAAAATGTAAGGCAGCAACTTTTTTTTACAGTGAGGTGCGATCAAATGCAAAAAAAACTAAAACTTTTAAAAAGATTTCTTAAAAAGTGTATTTTAGTGATGTATGCACACCTCAAACAAAAGTTACTTTCAAATTTAACAGCTTTTCATATCCGTGTGACCAACTTGAATCCTTTGCGAAATCTTTCACGCTCAAATTCACAATCACGTGGATTCCTATTCAAGTTATTTGATTTCGCCCATGAAAATTCGTCAAACAGCGGTAAATGTGATCGCACCTCCTCAAGCTAGAAAACAAGGCATGAACCCAGCTAACAGGGAACCTTCTCAGGTCTTTGGCTAACATTCTGCCAAGGTTCTCTCAAAGTAATGAGCAAACATTATTCTAGTAACGTTAATTAGTTTCATCAAAGAATGTTCATCAAAGTTATCAGGTCTTTAATAATGTTCTCAAAATGTTATCACAAAAACACCATCTATACAATTTATGGAACTTTGAAACGTTATTAGTAGGCCAACTTGTTTCAGAATGTCTAGAGAACATTCAAAAGTAATATTCCCATAATATTTGCTCAATTATAAAATGTTCTCTGAACGTTTTTTCTTGGGTTATATGTACATTGTTAAGGGATCATTTCCCTTAACAATGTACATATAACCAAGAAAAAACGTTCAGAGAACATTCAGAAATAACATGTTCACAAGCACTGACTGAACATTGTATATATAGCAGCCTCTTTGGTTTAGCCCACTCTGAAACAAACCACACATTTACGTGATGTGTGAAAAAGCAGGATTATTGGTAAGAAATGCACTTTTAAATGTGACACCACTGTTAACCTGAGCTTATGCATGCATTTCCTGTGGCAGATAGAGTAAGTCTAAGTAAGAGATGAAGGGAAATTTCTGTTGATGGCCACTCCTTGAAGGCACAGTTTAAAGTTTTAAAACCCAAGTCAAGGTGGAAGTGCTGTAATATTTTTGCAGGCCAACCCTGAAGTTAGCATCACACTGGTTCCCTCCAATAGGATTTGTCGATTGGCTTTTGGATTATTTCATAAAATTAGCTATGTGACCAACTAATGTGCATGATGACACATTTTGTTCATCGTGATAATCTTCACAAAAGAACACACCTTTAATGCATTTTGAAGCCTAAATACAATTGCCAGAAGTAAAAAGCTAAACATAGGCCATAAACAAATTACACTACGGTCATCCACTCTGCATAACCTGAGGCCTGTGCTTTTTTCTTTTTTCTTAGAAAAACGTTGTCCCTGAAAGCTTGAGTTAAAATAGTTTCCAAGAATTACAAACACAACGAGGCTGCAGTGGACTAGTGAGTAGATGAATTTTCCAAACAAAAAACCCATTCAAACAACCCATTGCCGAAGTGCCAAAATGCGAACTTGTTTCCAAGTTTTGGCCTACAAAAATGTATCATCCCTGCATCACTCTAAGACATTACTATGAATACATACAGTGCAGCAATACTTAGTAACAGCGCATATTATAGCACACTTAAAAGGCCTCGTTTACACTGTCAGTGAAATGTGACCCAATTCCGATTCTTTACTCGGATGCGACACAGATCGGATGTGTTCTATGACAGTGTAAACAGGAAAAAAACGCATGCATTCGGATATTTCGAGATCGGTTTCAGGCCTCGTTCATATTGTGGAAATAAATCAGATGTAAATCGGATATGTGCCAATGCGACAGTCATGTAAACAAGCAGATCGGATTTTCCGAGGCATTAGGCTTCGTCTCCGCGGTTTAATGACGAGAGAAACCCCGACGCGCATCTGCGGATGGACGGATGGCCCGATGAAACATTTTGTGTCGTCGTAGGAGAGGAATGTGGACACACGTTGACACAACATATCAAAGGTTGGCTTGCTCATCCTAAAATTTCGGACCCACTGCTCCTCGTTAAAGCCCGCCACGATCTCATGAAAGTGCGTTTATTGCACGATGTTTTTTCACGTGGCATTTACGCCCAAAAAAATTTTTTTGCGTCCATGATACGCACTTTATGGCGTTTAATACGCACGTTTACAGTGCGTATCATATGCAAGCAAAAACTATTTTTGCCGTATAAATGGCATGAGAAATACAATTTGTGCTATAGATACTCACTTTTATGAGATTGTGTTGTATGTTCCCACCTGTCCTGAGATCTCGCTGCGCGTTGTTCGTCCATCTAAGCAAGAAGACCCCTTTAAACATGCGCGATGTTTCAGTCAAGTGTAAACACATGACTCGGATATGGGTCACAATTTAAAGAATGTGTAAACGGACGGTAAAAAAAATCGGATATAGGCAACAAATCAGAATTGGGCATCAAGACATGCAGTGTAAACGAGGCCTAGACACACAGAATCTAGTCTCAGCCTCAGACGTCATGTCCTCGGACCACTAGCTGAACGTCTGATGCATATGGCACACTTAACTGGAAACACTTCAGGATTTTTAAAGTCATCATCTGATTGGTTGAATTATACAGGATGTCCAGGAGAAGTGTGTGTTGCGTTCTTTAAAAGTCCGCCTGGAAACAAAGATGCCGTGAAGCCAAACTTCCTCATTGAAGAAGAATTTATCGGGATCAACTAAATGCTGGATTTTCAAAAATATGTGAAGTATGTAAAGTTCACAGCATAAGACTCTTTAAAATACGTCCAAGAGTTTTACACACCTGTCTATTATTGTAGGGACATCGACAATACATTTTCACACCCCTAAACATGACGTGGAACAAAACGAACGATGATTACATGTCAGTCAGACGGCCTCTGGGCAGTCCTTGGCCAATGAAAGCTGCGATGGAGTCCAGACCTTCTGCCGTCAGTCTGAAGGTCTGGCTACGCGAGACTACACAGAATCTAACTTGCCTAAAAAGGCACATCCTTTAAGCACATGAGATTCTAAACAGATTAACCAGCTTCCACATTTGATTTTAGTACACTTCATTTAAGAAAAGCGCAACAGAATTCTCTGAAAAGGCTCTGGGCAATATCTCCCTCTCACCTGTCTTTGCCTTTTCAGCAAAAGTCCTGCTACAACCTGCTGCTTGCTGACTTGGCATGGTGTACTAACCCTAAACCTCAAATGTAAAATCCCCAGATTAACAGACACCATTAGTTTATCTACAGTACGGCTGTCATGCACATGCATACAGGGTGGTGGTCACTGAGGTCAGTCATCTTGTGACACAAGTGGTGCAAGTGGTAAAACAGTCATTAGGGTCGAAGTTGTTTACATTATTGTCAGACCTTGAAGAAGCATGATAAAAAAACCCGCAATAGTTTGGTTATCGTGACGGCTTCACGATTACCATCCCAATTGTCATTTTGAAATATGCATTTGAAAAACTTGAGAAAGTTTCTTTAAACTTCCTAGATGGTTTATTCGGTAAAACTCTGCTTGTATGTGTGGAGGCAAATGTAAAAAAGCAGCACAATTTGTTCAATATAATGGAATTGGTCAAACAGTTGAGTGAATTTGGAGTAGTACTGCCTATAGAATGTCTAAAGTGGACTATTGAAATAAAGTGTAACCCATATTTTTGTTAGGTTGACCGTCATTTAAGACGCTTTCAAAACTGACAGCAACATTAACATGTTGCTAAGCTAACAGAGCAATACTCCAAGCATAAAATATATAGCACACACAAATACTGGGTATTAGGGGTGTAACGGTTCAAATTACTCACGGTTTGGTTTTTATCACAGTTTCGGTATGGTTCGGTATGTGCTATGTTCAGGAGAAAAAGAACTACTGTCAAATAAAAATAAAGATAATAAGAACAAACGATCAAACTACAAGCAACAGGACAAATAAATACAATAGAGCAAAGATCCAAATAAAATAAATAGTGCTTTTCAGGTTTTTCAGGCATCTAACAGTAGTTTTCAGGTAGGCTACAGAAATTTAACTAATAAGGTAATCAAATATTGCATATAAACAACATTGCATATAATCTTCACTGTATAAATTAAATAAAGATGAATCATTATTAAAGTTATAAAAGCTATTTAGTCAAGAGCAGTGAGTGATTTCCTTGTATTTTGTTGTAAGTTAACATTAAAAAACACAGACAGTATTAATATTATGCTGCGGTCACTTTAAGTCATAATATATGGATCCAATACACTGATGCTGTACACATGCATTGTCTTTCTCGACTGTTTACATTCACTTCTTAAGACATAACATGTTATGTTTGCAAGTATACTCGCCCAGACAGGCATGTTGACAATAATTTGTCCGTTCAAGCACAAGACTTGTGTACTGTCTGCAGTGTTGTGCTTGTGCCTGAACGCGTTCAATTAACGATAGTTCATGAACTCGTTCATATTTTGGGCGAACGTGAACTGAACGTACTGAATTACTGCCTGATGAACGTTACTGTGAACGCGTTCATTCTGGTGTCTGTGAACGCACGCTCTCTCAGTTTAACTGTGTTCAATAGGGTGCCAGATTTCTATATAGCCTTCCAGGCGAAAACCTGGCTAAAACACACCGTAAACAGGCTTTAATATGTAGCGAAAAAAACACCCAATCTGGCAACACCAGCCACCAGTGTCACACCGCGGCCGCCGCATGCGTCATCAAGACAAAAAGCAGCATGTATTCGACAAAGCAGCGAGTGAAGAGGCGTCGTATGATTATTTAAACGAGTTGTATGACAAGGTCGGTGAGGATGGGAAAAATCTTACATTTCTGTGCAAACTTTGCCCGTCGATAAAATAATTGCTGTCTGTGGTTGTATATGGGCTGTGGCAATAATAAATTTTTTTTTTTTTTTAAAGCTCACAACAACATATGGAAAAAAAGAACTATGAACTAGTTCATTTTTTGAAGTATGAACTATGAACTGAACTAGTTCATTTTAAAATTTGTGAATGAACTTTGAACTAGTTCATGTAGAAAATGAACTTTCCCAACACTGACTGTCTGAAATGAACTTTCCCAACACTGACTTCGGATGAGTGCACACACAAATCTCCCAGCGTGCGAGCGTGTTCCCTTTTGCATCTTCTTGCCCTTGAATGTTCAAATTGGCAAGACTTAAATGAGTTTAGTTCAAACACAGGTAGAATGATGTGTGCGTAGTAGTGATGAAGGCGTATGATTGGTCATATTAGAGCATACGGCACTTGCATTTAACAAAGTTTAGGGGACGCCAGAAATGCATATCCTTCAACAGAAACATACATTAGCCTACTCTGTCTGTCTGTTTTACATGTTGTTATTTTCAACAAACCATATTATAAGTGCAAAAGGTGGGTGTACAACGGTACAGTTCGATTTTTTACCGAGAACCGTTACACCCCTACTGGGTATATTAATCAATTTTTAAAATCTGTTGAAAATTCTGTTTGGTGTTGCAGAAATGACACGACTCACCTTTAACATGGAGCAAGAAAAACAGAAAAAGCTATAGAAGTTCTATTCCAAAGCCTAGTGAGCTGCATCCCAGCGTACTGCCAAGTAAAGAGCAACTAACCATCATGAAAGCAAATGTAACTGATCTGAGATGCTTTCAATAGAGTCTGACATGTTGCTAAGCTAACGGCGCAATAGTCTAATTAGTATAAAATATATAGCACACACAAATACAGGGTATATTCATTTTTATTCTCAGCGCTGTGGCAAGAGGCATAATAAAACAGTTTAGAGAGATTTTTGCTAAGCTAAGTTGCTTAAAGTTAGTTAAAGTCACTATGTTTGCATACTTACGTAAAGTATGTTTCTGGTTTTAGAATTTGAGAAATCGAGATATCTTAAAGGGTTAGTTCACCCAAAAATGAAAATTCTGTCAGTAATTACTCACCCTCATGTTGTTCCAACCCCGTAAGACCTTCGTTCATCCTCGGAACACGAATTAAGATATTTTTGATGAAATCTGAGAGCTGGATCACTCCTCTATACTAGTCCATAGGCTTCTTCAGGGATTGAACTTGCCGGCCTCGAAAAGTTATTAAAGACATTGTTAAAATAGTCCAAGTGACTACAGTGGCTCAATCTTAAGTTTATCAAGCGACGAGAATACTTTTTGTGCGCAAAAAAAAACAAAAATAACGACTTTATTTCAACTATTCATTTCCTTCTCTGTGGGCCTCGAGTCAGTTCACTAGTGTAATAGCGTAAGCTTCTGTTGTTGTACGTCACACGCATCACGCACATGACCAGCGTCGGCCAATAGTGAGCCTACGTGTGACGTAGCTCTACGGAATCACACTACGTTAACTGACTAGAGGCCCAAAGAGAAGGAAATGAATAGTTAAAATAAAGTTGTTATTTTTGTTTGTTTTTGCGCACAAAAAGTATTCTCGTCGCTTGATAAATTTAAGATTGAGCCACTGTAGTCACTTTGACTATTTTAACGATGTCTTTAATAACTTTTCGAGGCCGGCAAGTTCAATCCCTGAAGAAGCCTATGGACTATAGAGGAGTGATCCAGCTCTCAGATTTCATCAAAAATATCTTAATTCGTGTTCTGAAGATGAACGAAGGTCTTACGGGGTTGGAACAACATGAGGGTGAGTAAATACTGACAGAATTTTCATTTTTGGGTGAACGAACCCTTTAAGTTACCATAAAGTTTCCTACATTTTGGAAAAGCAACTCGCATCAGAAGCAAGACTATGATCCCCTAAAATACTGTCAGACGTGGAATTGAAGAGCATCAAGAGTGTGTGATTGTCTGGGTGATATGTGATAACCAGACAAACAGCGCTCTTTATGAACACAACTGTCAGTCTGAAGCTCAGGTACCAAATCTGATCTCTGGGTGTATCTTTACCTGCTTCATGTGTGTGATCTTCGGCGTGTTATTGTCATGGGCTGATTGTGACAGACGCTGTTAGCATCACAGCTGCGAGACTCACACCATAACCTCACCTGTTTGCTGTCCTCCTCCTCTTGAGCCTTGCAAAACTCCTGCTCGATGGAGCAGTCCAGCTCGCTGAAAAGACCCACCTCCTCACAGTTCTTCAAGAAGCGCGTTGGGGTCGGCGTCTGGTCTGGAAACATTCAAGCAGACAATGCATCATTTATTCATAATTACATTGACAACGGAATTCACTTTATGATGTCTTATATGATGCACATTTTTAATTTTGTTGGGGTCATAAAATAAACAAATTAGGGTGGTACAATATCATATATCATAATGTAAAAAAAAACTTCATTAAAAGTATTAACTTCCTTGAAATTCATTAGTTAACATGAACCGACAATGAAAACTACTTATATAAAGCATTTATTAATCTTAGTTTATGTTAATTTACTAATACATTACTAAAATCTAAAGTCGTATCTGTTGAATGTACCTGAGCTACATGAACTTATAATGATCAATATGATTAATAAACAATACTATAACAAATGTATTGCTCATTGTTAGTTAATGTTAGTTTCCTGTTGTCATGTAATTCCCTTTCATATGCTGCGTTCCAGTCCACTTTTAGACACGCACTAAGTTGCGAACTTCCCTAAGCACTTCCCCTCGGGGGAATCCCTCCCGCCATTTTGAAGTGCGTTTCACTTCGTGAAGTGGACGAGGGAAGTTTATATGGACAGACCCTTGTTCCCTCGATTTTGACAGAGGGAGAGAGTCTACTTCATATGTCCACTACAGGCAGCTCCATATACCACAATGCAACACGATTGTGACGTCACCGCAGATCTCGTCTAATCCATAGACAGTATAAGAGATCTAATCACCACCACCACAAACAACTCTATGATATATTAATTATGATTTTTTTTTTAAACAACCCAAACACATCTATATACATTTGGATGCTGCATTAAACAAATTCTTAAAGGGAATTAAAAAATAATAATAATAAATCAACTCCATAGCTGATTCAAGTGATCAAGGGCAGTTTCCGCCAGAAGTGGGCACTCATGCAACGTAAGCAATGACGTACATCCGAGTGAACGAGACGGAGGGAAGTTAGCTAGTGAAGGGCATAGATATCCATAATAAAGGCTAGATGTCTCGTCCGCGCTGCTGGCCAATGGAGGTCACCGTCCGCACCTGGCGGCCATCTTGTCACAGGCAGCTCGCTCACTCGTAACATTGTGTTTTAATGGTGCATGTACTTTTTAAATAACCATAACTTGCTCAATTTTCTACCGATTTTCAAACGGTTTGGTTTGTTATAAACGTCAGAGATGTAGTTATGACACTGCATACTTATGAATAATAAGTGTATAAATAAATAATCATCCAGAATTATAGCCACGTTAATAACGTTTGTAAGAAACCAAACCGTTTGTAAATCCGTCAAGATTTCAACGAGATAAGAGTATTTGTGTTCGTGCTGATCACTCATCTTACATCAGGCACCACAGAGCCCGCCAGAAAGCTTGCCTGTGACAAGATGGCCGCCGGTGATGACGATAGAGACTCCGCCGTAAGACATATAGCCTTTATTATGGATATCTATGGTGAAGGGCATGACAATTTTGGACTGGAAGGCAGCAATAGTCATGTGATCCTGCCATGTGTTCCCTTGTCTGATGTGTCATGTTGTCATTGGTTCATTGTTTCATTGTTCACAGGTGTCCCTTGTCTAGTCATTAGTCCTTGTGTATTTAAGCCCTCATGTGTCTTTGTCAAGTATTGTTTCACCGTAACCTCTGTGGGTAAGGTCCTGTCATGTTTTGTTCATGCCATGCCTTTGTTTTATGTTTGATCACGTTTTGTAAATAAACTGCACTTGGGTTCTCTACAAACTTGCCTTCAGTGGACCTCTTTTACATTGATGTATTAACTAATGTTTACGAATGGGACCTTATTGTAAGGTGTTACCATGAAAAAATACTTTAGTAGTTTGGCATAATATTTTATTAATACTTTAAATTAAGCCGTTTTGAAGAATTTTTCTTAAAATATTAAAAATATTTGACACCAAATCAAAGTCATGAGGAGCAACCAATAAGAAAACAGGAAGTGATATCATAGAAAGGACTTCTAAAGAACCTCAACGTCAATATTCTTCAAAAACTATCAATTAGTTTTGTTCAGGTTGTAAAAGCTATTGTGATCATCCACTCCCCACCCCAAAAATATATATAATTTAAAAAAAATTTTTTATCACATTCTGTTTTTACCTAACTTGAAAATACATTTTAAGGAAAAAAAAAAAACTAAACTAAATAAATACGCTCAATTAGTGAAGTCAACTCTGCATGAACAAAATGATGTCTCTGTACACTCAACACAAGTTTGCGGTAAATTCCCTATGCAAGTTGAACCCAAGCCAAAGAGCTAAATAAAATCTTCTGGCGGGACCATGCGGTCCATGGCACTAGGATGCATTTCTAGCTGCATGCCGTGTCTCTCTCCACTCAGGCTGTGATTCTGTCCTCTTCATTATTTACCCTTGTCAGAGTGGCAGATCAGATTTCTGGGATCAGCTTTGGGTTTCTCACTCGCTCCGCATTCTTTTACATGCAGGCCCTTTTTTCAGTAACTCACTTGCTAACAAAGGTGCACATGCGTTCCTTCACTCACTACCTCTCGTTTGCTCAGCCTCAAACACACCCCACTGAGAAATCACACACACCTCTTATTGAGTTAGTGGTGGGACGATAATTTCTAGCCGCTACTGGAACCACATAGTAACTCATTATCTTGTACTTTATCAAACCCACAATGAATATTACTGTCTAGACTGAACCGCACATCCAGGACTCGTAGAATCCCAGCATGGGTTTTCAGGATCCCTGTAAGTGTCTGCAGTATCTTGATAGAAGAGGATGAATGAAATGCATATATCATAAAAAATAAGTGTGTCCAAAATAAAAATCAGAAAAGAACAGTTTAAAATGCATTCATATGTTTTTTTATTTTTTTTCATTTTTTTTTTTCAAGAATAGTTTCAGTTTAATTTACTGAAATAAAATAAAATGTCATGTGGTGTAATCATCAGTTAAAAAGTAACATTATTTTCAAAATACAGTTATTACAGTAATAACTCTAACTCAATCAATGAACTCATAAATTAACTCATAATAAAACAAAAAGCACTTGAATATCACACAATTCCGATTCATTTTTCAAGTCCAATCTAAAGGACTTGCATCATCAATTTGCAAGTGCTGAAATGCGATCCGTTTGTTCGGACAGTGTAGTCAATATCCAGTGTATCTACATCAGTTGCTATGGTAATGATGTAAGCATCAGCACAATGCCAAGATACTTTTGAGAGTTGTTGTCAAAGTTGTTGTCATTGAGGACAGAAAGCTGAAAAATATTGCTTTTTCTTTTGACCATTACGGTGCATGAGAATACATAAGTTATTAATTACTGCATTACTGTAAACATATTCATAAATAGTTTATTTTGTGCCTGAAACTGCTCATTAGTTCTCTCATTCGTAATTCACAAGTGAATGACACATAGTTCAATATCTGGGGCAAGAGTGAGCATCTCAAATGACAAAATACATGAAATCTGATCTGACCATGCAGACTGCAAGTCATTTACAGAAATCAGATTTTAACTGGATTTTAAACCACATGATGGATGGATGGATGGATGGACTGACGGATAGATAGATAGATAGATAGATAGATAGATAGATAGATAGATAGATAGATAGATAGATAGATAGATAGATAGATAGATAGATAGATAGATAGATAGATAGATAGATAGATAGATAGATAGATAGATAGATAGATAGATAGATAGATAGATAGATAGATAGATAGATAGAAAGGGTGGGTAGATAGATAGATAGATAGATAGATAGATAGATAGATAGATAGATAGATAGATAGATAGATAGATAGATAGATAGATAGATAGATAGATAGATAGATAGATAGATAGATAGATAGATAGATAGATAGATAGATAGATAGATAGATAGATAGATAGATAGATAGATAGATAGATAGACAGACAGACAGACAGACAGACAGACAGACAGACAGTTTTGTTTTGTTTTGTTTTGTTTTTTGTTTTGTTTTGTTTCGGTTTGTTTTGTTTTATTTTGTTTTGGTTTGTTTTGTTTCGGTTTGTTTTATTTTGTTTTGTTTCGGTTTGTTTTGGTTTGTTTTGTTTTGTTGTTTTGTTTTGGAATAGATGTGTTTATTGGTGTTCATTAACAGATCAGATACACCAAAAAAAAGGCTGACTTTTTCAACCAAGGCTGAGTAAACAACTTTGGTTAGTTATTGTACAATCTCTAAATATGCACCCTAGAATCCTCCACTTTTTCATCATAGTTGTTGAGACTTATTTTCTTTTCTTCCCTCCACTGTTCCCCTTTCCCCTCGTCCCCTGAGAGGGCCAGCGGTCTAATTGATATGGAGCTCATGGTACGGGTTGATGACTGGGATTAGGGGATTGAGGCAGAGCACAGCACAAATATTATTTTAGCCACATGGCTCTGCATTTAAAACTACACCTACGCATTTGCCAAGTCATGCGTCCTGCCTAATACACCTAATCAAAGACAGACGCTAAGAGGAGACTCACACATGAGCTGTGTGTGTGTGTGTGTGTGGTCTGTCTCACCTGACAGCATGTTGTCATTTTTGATGGAGGGGAATTTGAGGGTCATCTCATGCTTGTGCCGATGAATCATTAGATGATCCTCCGTAGGGAATCTCTGGAGAACATAGAAACAACTGGTTGTGATTTAATAACACTAAATACAATAAAAAAAAAGCAGAGGCTTGTTTTCTTTCCATTCTGTGTTCTTGAAAAACAGAATCTTACAATTAGTGACTGTGTCAAGCGAAGTTATTTTGCCAAAGTTATATTTACCACCTTGTACAACAGGACTGAGCCTTAGGCATAAACTGCCTGTCTGACTCGGAACCGATTAGAATAACAACCTTCTGATTGAAAATACCTTCTCATTATTGTAATTACATTATCTTAATTGCTGTTTAAGAGCACCTGAAAGGTATATTGTGTCTGTAAATGGTCCACATGAACCAACGTGCTTAGACAGACTGTGACAGGCCTCTGTGCAGCGGTTCAAAACCGGTGGATAGTGGCCCAAATGTGTGTTCTGACTGCGGAAAGAAGAGGAAAATAATGCTAAATGCGACTTAAAAAAACATTTTATAGGATACGGGATAGAAAATTTATACTTTTAAAAAGGCAGGGAAAGCACTTATAATATCTTAGGTTGATGACATCATAGGCTGTGCGTCCAATCAAAATATGTGTTTTTGCAATATGTAAATTTGTCATATCAATATTTGTACATATTTGTAGACCTATGCAGTACAAGGTAATATTAATACTGTAATATTATATTAATAATAATTCAAAGTACGATTTGTATTACTTTTGTATGATATACAATTTTGTTATTATTTTGGGTTGCTGGGTCTGGGTCCTGAACCAAAACCAGTTTAGAACTGGTTTAGTGTCAGTGAGATATACTATTATAGTTTTTAATCATATAAAATATCTAAAATAATAATTATATAAATATATATAATATATTATAAATATATAAAGGTTTTTATTTCAATTTCAGTTTTGGTAATTTTGCTGTGTGGTTTTGTCTTTTTTTTCTTTTTTCTTTTTACGTCTATATAGATTAATAAAAAAAAATTTTAGTTATTTTTTGTAGTCTACATCAAGTTAAACAAAATGAAAATGAGAAATATTACATTTATTTGATTATTTTAGGTGATTTTTGTTTCAGTTTTACCCCATTGCGAACCATTGTGTAATGGTGGAGCTAGAAGAAAATATGCATTAAGAGAGAGATTATTTACTATATCTATGAGGATTCCACCTCATCCAAAGAAATACAAAGCCAAGAATCTTATAAAGACCCAGTGGATTTCATTTGCCTCAACAAGATAGCATTTCACTGTTGTTGTCTATGGTGTAGTTTCACATAGAGAAGGAGCTTTCTCGAGTTACAGGACCGTTCGTCTTTGCCATTGTCTTATCAGACTCACCTGAGAGCAGCCCGGGGCAATGCACACGAACGGCCTTTCCTGCTCGGAGTTCATCACTGTCACTGGCTCCTCATATACCTGAACACAAAGCAAAGAAGAGAAATTCAAATCAGGGGCGCCTCCAGGACTCAGCAGCATAAAGACCCGCTCAGATGATGTCACTAATGTATCGTGTGCCAGTGATAGCCAACTCCGTGGTTCCCGAAGAGGCTTTGACGGAATCTCAGTGAGTATTCGGTGTCTTACGCCCTGGGAGAGGGCATTAGGAGTTGTAAAGGTTTAGGCTAAAACTGACCCCTGAAGTGTCACCCTGCTCCTTCGTCGCCATGGAGCCGTCGCTGACCACAGGGTAAGGTGTAAACTATCCTCTCTGTGTTGTGCACGCAAGTGTGTGGCTAAACCCAGACACACGGCGCCGAGGTCAGAGTATCAGTGGTTAGCAACTCTTTTGACACCTAAACTGCCCTGTTAATACTTCACCAGCCATGACTTTAGCAGTTTGTATTAGGGTCGATGACAGTTAAGAACGTCCGAGATAAAGCATAGGAACAATCTTTTCAAAATTTAGAAATGTATTCTTTGCGTTCATGCTGGCTTCACATTGATTGTTTTGAAAAATGTTATACAATTTATCTACAGTTTGAATTTATTAACTTTATAAATGGCATGTAGTTCAATCAATGTAATAACATAATTTCCTTACACCTTGTACACATCAAAAAAGTATTTTTATGATACAATGATGCAAAAAAGTGTGTATATATATACTTCACTATACTATACAAGATAAATCATATATGCTTAATTGCATAATTTCATTTAAGTATCAAAAATATAGGATTAAAAAATGTATATAAAATCTAAATATATATACTCATAAAATATTCTTTATTATAAATATCAGGACAGTTATACAACACTGACATTTTTCATATTTTTTAAGTTCATACTATATATATAATCATTAAATATTACGTTTTTGGGGGGATTTTGCCTTTTTTTAAATATTTTACCATCTGGATTGTATCACAACTAACCTGGCCATGTCAAAGGTCAATATAATTTACAATATTATGATATAATTTATCTGTATTATATTTATTATACTTTTTTTTTTTTCAAAAATATAAATTGTGCTTTTTTTCTAAAAAAATAACAATAAAAGATTATGTAAAGCAACACACGAATAAAAATATATATATATATACACACACACACACACACACATACAATTTACATTTTAAGTATTTTAAAGTAAATAATAGATCTGAAAAAAGAGAATCATAACCCAGGTCAGTTTTAAAGTCAACTGTTAATGGTGAAATATAGCTGCCTCTATCCAACAGGGTGACAATGTGCGGCAACACAGCAAACTGACAGGGTGACAAATTACAGCGAGGGCAATAAAGTGTCAAAATGTTTCATTACAATGACAAAACTCTGAACTATTTCTAGTGTTCGTTCACAAGTGGTGATTACATTTCAATGGCAAATCTCTCTCTCCGTTACAGCTCACCATGAGCACTGGAATCCCTTGTTCAGTGCCATGATGCTGCTAAATGCCATGGATGAAAGACTGACAATGGAATGGTATGCCAGTCATTCAGTTTCACGCACATGGAGTGTAACCGGGCTGCTCCTCTGATGCTGATGGGACGTACTTTACCATGCTTTTCTTATGTGGGCCCACGCTGAGCCCTCTGCTACTGTCGCCAAGGGGATAAGAGTGCGATTCTGTGGAATATAGCAGGCACCAATTGTGCTTTAGTCTCATTCTATTCAACGGGTGATGATCTATGGGAGTCTGGGTGTTGGATTCTGACTGTTCTGATTAGTCAACTGGAGCAATACGTTGTGATTGGTCAACCACTTCTAGCGTGTTTCGGAAATGTCCCGCCCCTTGCCAGGCCTCAGATGCTGTGTGGGCCTGATTATAAGATGGCAACAAATGCTTATGACTATTTTATCGCAACAGCGAAAACACTGTCTTGCAAAATTTGGCTGCATGTCGTGCATCACAGGTGATCATAAACTTGACCAACGTTTCTAACACCTGTTTTGGGAATTTTACACCACCCTTATGTAAGTTTTGTGCGAAAGAGTAACAGTATTATGGTCTACAACAGCCTAATGAGACACAGCTGTAATAGTCCATGACAGCCAGAGTCGAGTCCCCTTCATATACAGCAGCAAAACAGACTAATGACTGTGGCTACGTATTGACACACCGCTTAGACAACAAACACTTTCCAAATGTGTGGAAAATAAACACGTTCAAAACTTTGAAAGATGAAAACATTAAGAGAAAAGCATGAATTCAAATGCTTCAGGCTTGGATATATACATGAGCCCCGCTGTGTGACCGCTTTCATACACGATTTGCATGTGCATTTGTTTTTCCCTGTCCGATTGGTCTAGTCAACTGTTTCCTCCCATGCAGTCAAAACATGCAAATTTGCCGTTATATTAACCAGACTTCTTTTCCCTTACAGTCCGGCCTTGGGACAGAGCCCCTCCAGGCGGCTTCTGACACGCGGCCCTTGGGGACACATGGTCTGGACAGGGTGTTTCTGTAAGCGAACCGACATCAAGAACACGTCTGCTAAATGACAAGTCACTAACACACAGCTCTCAGCTCTCATACCGCATCTGTCTTATTCCCCTCTCACTTTTTTCATTGTTAATTGCTATTTAAAAACGGTCATTTTGGCTGTTCGATATTCAACCTTTAAAGCGCCTCTGTCACTAGATGAGATTGAACACTTTTGCCAGAACTATTTTTGTTCAAATAAAGGGACAGATAATCTAAAAAATGTAGTCATCATTTACTCACCCCCATGTCACTGTAAACCTGTTTTACTACTTTTTGTCACAGAACACAAAATAATATATTTTTAAAAATCCTGGTAAACTAATTTGGTCACCATTGACCTTCATTGTATGGACAAGAAAACACTGAGACATTTTTCAAAACATCTTCAGGGTTTGGAACAACATGAGAGTGAGTAAATGATGAGAGAATATTTATTTTTTGAGTGAATTATTTCTTTGAGTAAATTTATTTCACATTTTACGTCCGTAATGTGATATATTTCTGAGTGAAATTTATCGACAACGAGATAGAAATGTAGGATGGGACTCGATTTTCTCTATCAGAAATTGACCGTATCATCTCTATTTGACTCTTCTCTGAGCTGAAAAGGAAAGACGTTTCAGAGGTGAAGTCATAATATTTTACATATTTATCCAAAGCGACTTGCATTAGATTCAAGATTTTAAAATAAAAAGTCACAAGTTCAGAATAACATCATAATTATTGGATATTCAATTTATACAGTAGCTTGATTTATTTGAACCTGATATAAAACATTTTATATAATTATCTGTGAATTGTACCATAGTGTCTGTGAAACAAGACATTTCTGATAAAACTGAAAAATGTCTATATGATCATTATAAACATTCCTTCCCTCTTCGGTTAAAATTAATCCGGCTGACTGAGTGATTTGCACTGAGTTCCTCATATTTTATATCAACTATAGAATCAGTTTTATCCGTTCCTGCTTCCACTGAAAATTGAACCCATGATAGTCATTTTGATGAAACCAAGCCCAAACCTTTTTTTTTCTTTGGAATAAGGTGCACAGATGAATCATTCAAAATAAAGAACCATGAATGTGTTAAATATGATTTAACATATATGTTTGATTTCATGTTGACTTTAACAATACAATACACCTTTATAGTGAGGAACATGTTTCTGTGTCCTTATCTAGCCTTAAACTTTACAAACTTCTCACCGTATCAGTCAAGATTTGAGAATGTATTGTAATTATTGTAAATATGCTGTGTTCTCAAATGTTACGAGACCCGAGATAAGCCGTCTTGTTGTGATATCATCTGGCATAATTCCAAAAGCATAACCAACAGTGCAACACAATCAGACGCCTGCAGCAATATTCCATATTTTCACTATGCATGTTCTCCAACATGCGAAATCCGCACTACAAAGACTGTCATCAAATCTGTTCATTTAAACATAGGATTATGCACTTCATTCATTTTTATGAAAAATATTACCGTATCATTTCCACCCTCCAGCAAGTCTTTTAGCCACCTAAACTGCTCAATATTCCCATGTGACACAAGACCAGGTGTGAGATGTTTGCTCACCGGTGGTCATACACTGCTTGGCTTTTATTTCACCGGTGTTTTCATTTAACACAGGAAATTTCGTTACACTTCAAATTTAGAACGGCCCGATGTGGCAGCCGAGGAGGATTAGGGGACCGGAGTACAGTTTCACAGGGAACCGGTGAGGAACTTTCTTCATTTGAATTCAAACAGTGTGGTGCACAGGCCGAGGGGAGAAGGAGGGTGGTGAAGGTTACAGCAAGCACAAACTTGCACCGCAATTCAAATCCAACCTCCAACCTCCCACCCCCCGTCCTCCACAGGCCTTCGGCAGAAAAGGTTCAAGGTAGGATCAGCTCAGGGCCCGGGGCAAGGAATAAGAAACATACAGACAATGCAAAGGATGCCATATACCTCTCTTAATGAACAGACGAAGAGGCCCAACAAAGGCAACCTTCAATCACTGTCAGTCATCACATCTTCTCAAACATAAACTCACAGAGACCAAGAGAACTTCAGGCTGACTTTGATACCGAAGGTACAAACATTTGAAATATGAATGTTGTATATCGGAACGTTGTTGTTGTTCAGTGAACAAAAGAGATAGCAAAATGAAAACATGCCATTTGTGATTAAAATTAAAATCAAAAACTTTTGAATTACCATGTTATCATACATCACATATTATAAGGCATTTAGAATTTTCTATAGTATAACTATATAAAAAAAATTCCACTCATTGTAATTCACTCTATCAGCCAGATTAATTAAACTGGAGAGGGAAGGAATGTTTATAGTAGTCATATAGACATTTTTTTCCAATAGCCACTCAATTTTTTTAGATGTGTCGGTAACACTTTAGTTTAGGGTCCAATTCTCACTATTAACAAGCTGCTTATTAGCATGCATTACTAGGATATTGGCTGTTTATTAGTACTTATAAAGCATATGCCTTAGTCTGCATGATTCTACATCCCTTAATCCTACTACCCATACCTAAACTTAACAACTACCTTACTATCTATTAATAAGCAGTATAGGAGTTTATTGAGGCAAAAATCATAGTTAATAATTAGTTAATAGTGAGACTTGGACCCTAATCTAAAGTGTGACTGATATGTCTTGTTTCACAGCTGACAATAGTAGCCAGTGGCGTAGGTTTGATTTTGAAATTGGTGGGGACGGGGACATCAATATTTAATATATTTAAAGTTTTGATCGAAAATATTGCTAGGGATATATCAGTGTCACTGGATATTGGTAGGGACACGTCCCTAGCGTCCCTCCTAAATTCTACGCCCCTGTAGCTATTAAATGTTTCTAATCAAGTTCACATAAATCAAGCTATAAGTTGAATATGCAGTTATTCCAAACTTTTATGACTTCTTTCTTCCATGGAACACAAAAGGAAACGTGTAGACAGAATGCAAATATGACAGCCTCAGTTGCCATTCACTTTCATTGATTTTTTTCCGTACAATTAAAATGACTGGTCCTGTCATTCATAGCATCACTTTTTGTGTTCCACAGAAACTAATACAGGTTTGTATCAACATGAAAGTGAGTAAATGATACAGACTTCACATTTTAAGTGTGAACCCGTTCAATCTCCAACCTGGACCATGTGATAGAATAACTGTAATCTATTTGAATTTTCCTCCCTGTGTGAAGATGAACTGCACATGTTTAATATACGATTGTTTGCTGTACTTTCTTACAAACAAACATTTATTTTTGTTGTAATGAAAAGAACCCAGTCAAACGTGTCAGTGGATTAAAATCTTTTAAGCATTTGGGCTTTTAGGAGAGAGTTTGCCTCGTCAGCACAAACCGCTGAAACCCTCAATATCTGGACGGTTAATCAAAGTCTGACTGGCCTGCATTATGACGTCATGCGTCGAACTCGAAGCATTGCTTTCTTGTTACAGTGTTAGAAAATAAAAACGTGTGATTCAGTGCAAAGATTCAGGCGTGCATGCTTTAACTCGTCCTTTATAAACGAGCGGACTGGGACCCCTCTGACAGCCGCGGTAGCTCTTGTCGAAACGGGAAAACACTGAGGTGCAGTAGTTTTCAGAGACGAAAGAAGTTCCTCAGTTTCTGCTTGTTGATGAATGAAACAAAACAGGTTCGACGCTACAAACTAATTCTCTAGAACAGACCGCTTCAAAGGAACAATGCAGAACACTTGTGTCACAGCGCGAAAAGGACACAACATACACGCGGTGGCAAGCCATATTAACACTTATTCATTTAAACCAACTTACTAATATACAGGCTAGGCTATATATTTGTTATTCGCCTAGTTCTTATTTCTACTGGCAAGTAATCCAATAGCGAAGAATCTTTTTCAGTTAGGCTATATGTACATTCCTTGCTTATTTGAAAATCTATTCCATTGTTACTGGAAAGGAGTTCTTTTGCCACTGGATTCTTTTTAGACTATTCACATTCCAATTGATGCTGGCCCAATTGGGGAAAAAAATGGTAAGTTTTAAAATCTAACAATCTATTACTAAAGTTAGTACAAATCTAGCAATAGCTACTCCTACTATCTATTCCATTAGTACCAAGTAGGCTACCTATTTATGACACACTAGGCTACTGATCTCAACTGTTACACTGTAAAAAAAATGATCAATAAGTTATGACAAAATAAATTTAGCAATTTTCAACTTTTTTATGTTATACAAGATTCAATTAATTTTAAGTCATTTTAGGTTGAAGTTTAACTTTCAGTTGAAATAACTTAAACATCCAAGTTGATTGTACTTCTTTGTAGTTAGACCTGTATTTTTTACTCATATTCACCAATGCATACGCATGGCTAAATTACAGATATTTAACTAAAAATGGCTATCAATGAATATAACTAGTGAAATTTAAAAATATACTAGCCCCGACTAGATTACTTACTAATTAAAAAATAAGTACTAGTAACATAAAAATGAGTTCGTTAGAGGAATAAGTGTTAAAACAGCTTGCCACACATGCACATACAAACACATGCACGCACAAGTAAAAACTGTAGAAACACATCGTGTTTGACAGCTTCATGCACGCAAAGTAAAAACTACCGACTCCGCGTAAAGTTTTGCACAATACAACGACTTAAGTTTGAGAGCAGAATCAAGATTAAGCTAGCTGTTTAATGCGACACGATCCCTTAACGCGCAATTTGGCTAAAGACAGTGCGCAAAGCTGTTACATGCAAACAATCCCTGGAGATCCGAAAATAATCAATCATGTTCCGCGTGTTTACTTTCCTGCATGAAACGTGAACGACTTCACGCGTACAAACAGAGTCTGTAAAAGTACTTGGAATCTGTTAATGTGAATCCTTAACAACTTGTCACTTCTTCAGGCTCAAGAGAATGACTCTTTCAATGGCACCGACTCGTCAAGTGCATGAATGCGAAGGAATGGATGTATCGGCATGAAAAACAACTCAAACAACTCACCGCAGAAGTCTGGAGAAGATGCAGCACACTTTCTGAAGGAACCACGTTGGACTGAGGAAAGATTACAATACGATCTATTTAGAGAAGCATTACATCACCCTTTGGTGACGTCACGTGGGATTCCTGAACTTCTAAATCATTGCGGTCCCTCGTAGGGGCGGGGCGGGGCGAGAGGGGCAGGCGGGGCGGGGTCAGGACCAGTGGGTGTGGCAACACCAACATCTGTCTGACTTCAACTTGTTATTGTTGTTCGCAGCGAGTTCGCATTATGAGTCATAAACTGCTGTTGATAAAAAAAGTGTATGCTATATGATCATGAGATATAAATGCACATTATTGGCACAATTAAACAACTAATACAGATTAGGTAAATTGTTATAACACTATAATTACATTAATTTTGGATTATTTCGAATTTTGAACACTATTAAACTGTACAATATTTGAAAGATCATTAGTTTATATACTTTCAAATATTTCGAAATACTTTCATATATTCAATTCTTATTTTTTCATTTTCATATATTATGAACAACTGACCTGTTAAAAATTATATAATGCTGATGACTTCTCATGACGTTAATACATGGTTTGATTTACATGTTTTGGAAAGGAGAGATGACTAATGACACCAAACATCTCAGCTCAGTTATCCAGGTCTGTTAATTGTGCACATCTTGCCGGTGCCTCTGTGCTTACTAAATAATGAAAGTGTCATGGGTAAATAAATTATTGGCTGGATTATGTCTGCCTGCAAGTGTTGAATTTAGAAGATGGTGTTACAGAATCAAAGCTCTGACTCCTTTGTCTGCAGATAATTGCCAGGCAAATGTAATGTGATGCAGGTGGCATCAAAGGACAAACAAACTAATACCTTTGTTTATTTCTGTGGCATTCGGTATAGGCCTACTTTCTATTAATTCTGTCTGTGAACAGGTGCTGGTATTACAAAACATAGGCGTATGTTCATGCTATTAAAGAATTCACAAGGTGTGCAAATGTTGCCATGTACAATAACATTATGTACACTGTAAATGATCAACATTTTTAGACAACATATGTTTTTACATTGCATTTAGTCATCAAAATAAGTTAAGCAATTTTCAACTTTTTCAAAAGTCATACAAGATTCAACTCATTTTTTAAGTCAGTTCAATGTAATTTAAGTTGAAATGACTTAAACATCCAAGTTGATTGTACTTAAAAATTTAAGGCGGCAACTTTTTTTTTACAGTGAACCGTGAATAAAAAAAATTGAATTAAATATAATCATGTAAGATTTTAAAAGGAAAAAATGAAACAAATCAAAGTGGTCCTCCAATTCCAACATGGCTATTAGTAACTTTTTTTTTACGTTTTTACAGGTTCAAATGATATCATTCAAACATTTTTGCAGAATCTGCTCACAACGTGGTGGGTTTTAGGGTTAGAGCTGGGGTTAGAGGAGGGCCTTCATGCTTTTACCTTTTTCTAAAAATCGTACAATTTTGTACAATTCAGGTTAATTCCCATAGCATGACTTTCAGAAACATATACTGACTAATGAGCTCAAACATCAAAGAAACAGTAATAGAGCTATTAAAACTATTCTAGAACTATTAATCGAATATACTGTCATTTTATGAGTATATTTTTCCTGCAAAAGACAGTATAGCAAAGAAAATGGTCATGAGGTTCATCATAGCTGTTAAACTGACACATCAGCCATAATAGGGCAAAAATAAAAAGAGTCACATGCAGCTGAGAGTAGACAGAGTCACAACCTTTCAAGCTTTAGTGAATGTGCTGGAGGCGGCAGTGTGATTTCTGATGCCGAGGGTACACTGGAGGAGTCTGGGATTGCTTGGGCGATTAATGACTGTCTGCTCCTCGGAAAGGAGCTGTTTACAATGAGCCACCCGTGCTAAGAGCTCTGTCACGGGAACAATAACGCTATAGCCTCAACTGCTGTCATAACTCAGCCGTTTCACTTGCCTGTGTCTTTTAACCTGGGCCTTAATCAAAGCTTTATGACAGTTTTTGTTCCTTTATGGTCTATATATTTCTCCTGGCAATCCAGACATCATCCCATGGGAGAGCTGTGCAGTAAGTGGCATAAGTGCACAGTCAGTATTGGGTCACTGACCCCACACTTTAAAGGATTTTATCTCTAATGCATGGCAGGTTAGTCTGTCCCCAAACGTCTTGCAGGGCTGAATTTAGGAAAGAGGTGAAAAAGTGACATTTTAATGTCAGGTCTAATTGAGTTAAAAAAAAAAATTCTCAAATTAAATATTTGATTTACACCACCGGTCAAAAGTTTGGAATAATTACGACTATTTTAAATGTTTTTTTCAAAAGAATATGCTCACCAAGGCTGGATTTATTTGATCAAAATTACAGTAAAAGCAGTAATATTGTGAAATATTTCAAATGAAATTGTTATGAGGGTGGAAGGTGAACCCAAGCGCAGACAGGATGCAGTGAAACGAAAGTTTATTATAAACAGAAAACAGGGAAAACAAAACCCACGAGGGGGCAAAACATGAGGCAATACAAACGAGGGATAACTAAACTAGATAACACTAGACAAACACTAGACTATAAAACAGCAAATACAAGATCAAGACGTTCTCCAAAGACAAGGTACTCACAGGTAGACTCTCACAAAGTGTGACACAATGAACCGGCACAGGACAGCAAACACAAGGGGATGAAATAGGGGAACACTAATGACAAAGACAGGTGAAGCTGACTAGACAATAATGACGAGACGAGGATAACAAGGGGGCGGGGTAACGTAACGAGACAACACAAGCACATGGCTCAAAACACAAGACCATGTGCTTGCACACAAAACATGATTCTGTCATGATCCTGCCTCAAGACTAGAGAAAATCAAGGACAGAATCATGACAGAACCCCCACCTTAAGGAGCGGCTACCAGACGCTCCTCAAGGGGACATCAAACACGGGACATGACAGACTGAGACATCGACACAAACCAACAAAACATGACAAATAACAGTAACGGCAAACACGAAAACACAACAACAGGGTTAGGATGAAACATTAAAAATAATAAACAAGGAAGAGGTGGCGGAGGAAACACAGAGTTCATGGGGGGTGGTCCAGGGTGGATGGGTGTGCTGGGGGTCTTAGGTCCACGGGATGAGGGCTTGGGACGAGGATTCTGGGCGGACTTGGGTGGAGGCACTCGAGGAGAAGCCATAGGGGAACTAGACTGAGACAGGGTGACACGTGGAGAAGCGCTGGGGGAACTTGACTGGGACAGGGAAGGAGACAGCACAGGACAGGAGACAGGGTGAGAAGTAATCGACTCAGACTCAGATGTAGTGCTCATATTAAACTCGGAAGCGCTCTCCTGTGCAGTAGTGCTCATATTAAACTCGGAAGCGCTCTCCTGTGCAGTACTCTCAGGAGCTGGAGCAGCGAGCTCGGAAACAGCTCTCTCAGAAGTAAGCTCAGGAACTGTTCTCTCAGCAGCGGGTGCTGGGACCGCCTTCACAGCGGCGGGCTCTGTGACTGCAGCGGGCTCTGTGACTGCAGCGGGCTCTGTGACTGCAGCGGGCTCTGTGACTGCAGCGGGCTCTGTGACTGCACTCGCTGGAGTGGGATCTGGGATGGCGCTTGAAGAACGGGAGGCTCCCCCCTTCCTCCTCTTTCTCCTAGGTCGAGAAGCAGAGACCATCGCCGGAGCTGAGACGGGTTGGGGAAGCACGGCGGCGACTGTGTCATGCGAAGGAGGGGTTATCTCTGGCAGGATTGACTCCGACGCTGAGGACTCTGAAGGAGAGTCCCACGAGGTTCGCCTCCCTCGAAGACCGAAGGGGGTAGAAGAAGTGCCAGGAGTAGTGAGGGAGCCAGCCTGGTCCCCAAGTGTCGCGACGCCTATCATTCGACCCTCGGGAATAGCTGGCAGGCAGGCAGAAGGTGGAGAGCCCGTGGAGGAGCCCTGCTGCTCCTCCTGACACAAACAGTCCACCATGTCCCGAAACGGGCGGTGGACCAGCCTCTCCCGTTCAGCCAGAGGAGGGGGAACATTGAGACCTGCGATGAGGTAACGGTTGGTGAGGATCTCAGGTAAGAAAAGCCTCCTTGCTTCCACGGCCTGGGCATATCTCCTCAGGGACCTCTCTCCCTGGGGAGGGAAAGGAAGCTTGCCCAACTTGCTGTCGGCGATGGCCGACTGCCACCACAATTCCTGGTCAGTCGACTGTCGAATAGCAGGAAAAGACATACAGTCTGCTGGGTTCTGTTTTGGCCGGTTCATTCTGTTATGAGGGTGGAAGGTGAACCCAAGCGCAGACAGGATGCAGTGAAACGAAAGTTTATTATAAACAGAAAACAGGGAAAACAAAACCCACGAGGGGGCAAAACATGAGGCAATACAAACGAGGGATAACTAAACTAGATAACACTAGACAAACACTAGACTATAAAACAGCAAATACAAGATCAAGACGTTCTCCAAAGACAAGGTACTCACAGGTAGACTCTCACAAAGTGTGACACAATGAACCGGCACAGGACAGCAAACACAAGGGGATGAAATAGGGGAACACTAATGACAAAGACAGGTGAAGCTGACTAGACAATAATGACGAGACGAGGATAACAAGGGGGCGGGGTAACGTAACGAGACAACACAAGCACATGGCTCAAAACACAAGACCATGTGCTTGCACACAAAACATGATTCTGTCATGATCCTGCCTCAAGACTAGAGAAAATCAAGGACACGAGGGCAGAATCATGACAGAAATTAAATGATATTTAAATTAACTTTTTTCAAGACTAAAGCCTGAAGAAATGGCTGCTTTATCATCGTATTTTAAAATATATAGGCCTACACATAGAAATAGTTCTTTTAAATTTTAATAATATTTTACAATACGACTGTTTTTACTGTATTTTGTTTAAATAAATACAGCATTGACTTCTCACAAAAAACAAACAAAAAAACATTTCAAAAATCTGAATCATTCCAAACTTTTGACCAGTTGTGTACATTCAGTCAGTTGGTTTC